AAAGTCGGATCTTCCTCACCTAAAACATCCACAAATCGTACGGTGAGAAAAGAAAACATCTATATATATAGCACATAAGAAACGCAACATATTATCTCATTATAACTTAATATTCATAAATATTTCAATATATCGTATTTCAATCAATCATGCATCGTCATCACGTCATAATTCTCAATCACACCAATCATCACAAATCTTGCACTTCACACTATGCCAAGGTCACACTACCCATTTAACAATCCAAGGCCGTGCTCACCCCTAATATAACACTATGCCAAGGTCACGATTCCTCTGTAGCATATCTAGCCCAGGGTCGTGCTCACCCCTGACATGTTATTCAAGGTCACAATACCCACGTAACAATCCAAGGCCGTGCTCACCCCTAATATAACCAAACGGCTGAGCGCCTTGAAACGGCTGAGCGCCTTCAAGCTAGAGAGCTCAACAAATGTAGCAAAAGAGAGGCGCTCAGCCACTATAAGGCGCTGAGCGGATTTGGCCCTGGAAGAAGGAGTGCTCTCTGCCTCCTAGGCGCTCAACGGATATGAAGCGCCTAGCCCCTTGTGCTTGCTTAACAATGAAGAATCTCTCAAGCGCTCAGCGGATTTGAATGGCTCAGCCATTCAGATTACTTCATGGTGAAGAATTCTTTAAATTGAGCCCTTCGTTAACATGTCAGGGGTGAGCACGGCCCTACGTTAGGGGTAACGTGACCTTGGCATAGTGTTATATTAGGGGTGAGCACGGCCTTGGATTGTTACGTGGGTATTGTGACCTTGAATAACATGTCAGGGGTGAGCACGACCCTGGGCTAGATATGCTACAGAGGAATCGTGACCTTGGCATAGTGTTATATTAGGGGTGAGCACGGCCTTGGATTGTTACGTGGGTATTGTGACCTTGAATAACATGTCAGGGGTGAGCACGACCCTGGGCTAGGTTTTTACAAATTAATCATATATTCATAGTCCTAAATACATACAGAATTACATAAGATCAATAATTCTCCAAACAGAAATAATTATAAAATTACTCATAATCCTAAGAGTTCTTCCTCTACCCAATCCCCTCATGTAACTCTACATATAAATAATCCCCTTTTGCCCCGTACCTGGATATGTAGAAGCTGAACCTACACAAGATTTGGTTGATCTCCCTCGCTGGGTTCCCCTCGGTCTAAAGTAGAAAGTAGAAGAAAAGAAGAGAGAGGAGAAGAAAAGAAATCAGAAAATGAGAGGTGTGCTTTTTGGGAGTGGCAGAGAGCTCAATTTATAGGCATCAGGCTTTGCCGGAATGGCCCGTTTCAAATTCGGAACGGCCCGTTCTGGACCCTTAAATCATGGGTAAAAATCACATCCAGAACGGTCTGTTCTCAAACCAAAACGGCCCGTTCTGGTGTGCATTTATTACTCATAATGGCCATATTTGGAAACGGCCTATTCCAAGCCCGTTCCCATTTAGGATTATAGGCAGTTTTTAATAGTCCGGAACGGCCCGTTCCAACTTTAGAACGACCCGTTCTGGGCTACTAACTCACATACATTTTGGTAGTTTGGAACGACTCGTTCCAATTCTGGAACAGCCTGTTCCAAGCTACTAAATCACCCCTATACATTTATAAAAATTACCAAAATACCCTCAATAAAATAAAATAAAAATGAAATAAAAACTGGGGTGTTACAATAGGAGTACATGTCAGATCACATCCTTTACGTACTCTCACTAGGAGAACATATTACCAGGGTTTGATCATGATAATAAAGCTACGTAAGATACATCTCATGCACATAAGGGCAGGACTAAGACTTCTAAACCGAGTTATCCCCAATGACTTATCCCCAAACTTTTACACAAGGGACTTTTCATGGCGATGTATTCCATATTGTACCCCTAAAACACATTTTATGCAAATGATGCATGTCAAACAGACTCAATGCAATAACATACACATGATCTCACTTCACGTATCACATATTCCTCATATCATCTTATAAATCCCATGTACATTCTTAAATACATCAACTAGTCATTAGTAAAAAGGTAACATCAAGATTACAAGGGTAAAATAACCAACTAACAATCGTTGAGCTCTTTGGAGCCTCTCATTGAGCGAATGACATCTAGTTGAGCAATCTGAGCCACCTAGGGCTTCTTGCTAAGCCACCCAACACACGTCTTACTAAGCGAGAACGTGATCTTCCTCCCTAGAAATCACGTCTCCTCAATGACTACAGGTTGCCAACATCTAATTTCATGCATAAAATTATATATAATCGGTAAAAGTGCTCTATAACATGCAATTAACATTCCAAATAACTCAATTTACACATATAAATCAATATTTTCACAAACTAACACAAGAAGTTCCCTTAAGATTTTTCATAGGAATCTCAGATTATACAATTACAATCTAAAACATATAATTGATCATACATTGAAAAAATTTATGTCATTTGGAACGTGTAAGAAAAATAAGAGGCAAAAAAGACGCATATGGAAAACCCCCCATATATATATATATATGTATATATATATATATAT